GGCTAATTGAGTTTAGGGGGGCTAATTGAGTTTAGGACGGCTAATTACGTTTAGGGGGGCTTATTACGTTTAGGGGGGGCTAATTGAGTTTCTTCCGTCAACACAACGGAAAACAATTAAAAAAAAGCATCTAATTCTTCATTTTAGTTTCATTTTGGTTTACTGGCTTATAAAGAGATAATAGATAACATTTCTAAAACATAGTCACAAAAACGTTTACAATTACTTTATGTTCGACATTTTACTGGATTAAGACAGCTTAAGACTTTTCTAATAGGATGCATTGTGGTCTAGATTGGGTACACTCATTATGATATAGAGCGTTTTCACGTGACATCACAACGGCCATTATAAGGTACCAAAACAATACATTTTCTATCCTCCGGGAATTCTCTTTTTATGCAAAAATTGTGCAGAAATTAGCCTCTATCGTTTGATACAACAATAAGTTGCTATCAATGACGTCACTTCCGGTAATAGCTCTTTTTGATGGCTTATAGAATCTTGGAGGTTGTTTTGATTTCTTGTTTTCTGGTTTCATGTCGTAGAAATAGTCAAATACAATAGTTTGAGGACTTATTTTGACATGTTTTCACTTAGTAAGTTTCTCCCTGTGAATCTGGGTCGTTCTTAATAGTGGTTCTCCAATTTTTCAACTCTCCACTAAGCTCTGACTTAGCTTGGCCTAGAGGATGTTTCAGGGGCGGCAGGGTTTCCATTAAGGGTGGGGATCGGAGAATGTTCCGGTAAATGAGCATAGGCTTAAACTATAGCTACTACCAAAATCTGACTTAGCTTGGCCTAGAGGATGTTTCAGGGGCGGCACGGTTTTCATTTAGGGTCGGGGATCGGAGAATGCTCCGGTAAATGAGCATAGGCTTAAACTACCACCAAAATCTGACTTGGCTTGGCCTAGAGGATGTTTCATGGGCGGCAGGGTTTTTATTAAGGGTCGGGGATCGGAGAATGCTCCGGTAAATAAGCATAGTATCCGGCTTAAATTACCATTATATCTTAGTAATTTAGAAATAGACCGTTTTCTCAAGGTTGCGTGCGCATCCAACTTGACGGGCCACAAAACTGAAAAACGCAAATTCAGTAAAATTGAGAAGCCAGTTTTATATTTAAAGAGGAGAATAATCGATTTTATGAATTCTTATCGAAAAAAATTCACAGCACGTTCTGGTATCGTGGCCCGTCAAGTTCCTTATATTGGGGTGCTTGAGAAAACGGTCTTTTGGCCCCACGACTTTCCCATGACTTACCTTTTTCGTCATGCCAGCAATAAAACTAACATTATCGTAGCCATTGTCTTTGAAATTCTTTAAGTAGAGGTTCTAAAGAAGAAGAAAAACGATGACGAAATTTAAAAAGACCGTTTCAAGTGCTTTAGAGCTAAGGCTCAGTGCTTACCCTTAGTTCGCCAGGTAACCATTCTTCAACAGCTGTTTCTGGGTGAAGTTTAGGAAGTCTGGTGTCAAATCGAACCTGCTTCTTTTCTTCACCGGGGAAACGCCATTTGGGAGCCTTTTCGGCGGCCTCATCTGAACACCAGACAAAAGCAAAAATTAAGTTCTTAACAAACACGAACACTACCTCATCAACACGATCACTACGTCACAAGCACGACTCCTACGTCATCATTATGAAATCTACGTCATCAAGACGATCGCTACGTAACCATCACGAACTCTACGCCATCAACACGATCACTACTTCACCATTATGAAATCTACGTCATCAACACGATCATTACGTCACCATTATGAAATCTACGTCATCAACACGATCACTACGTCACCATTATGAAATCTACGTCACCAACACGATTACTACGTAACCATCACAAACTCTACGTCACCAACACGATCACTACATGAAATCTACGTCATGAACACGATCACTACGTCACCATTATGAAATCTACGTCACCAACACGATTACTACGTAACCATCAAAAACTCTACGTCACCAACACGATCACTACGTCACCATTATGAAATCTACGTCACCAACACGATCACTACGTCACCAGCAAGACCTCTACGTTTTAAGGACGTTCAATAATATATCTAACCAAAACCTATGCTACTCAAAGAGAACGAATAAGACTTGGCTTTTATGATGTTTATCTGACCTGTACTTGTCGTTCTCTTCACTTTGGATTTCATGGCAGATTTAGGAGGTTCGGGTAAGGGCACAGGAAGAGGGATGGGTTCAGGCGACTCTGTTCCATTGTCTGAAGGGGATTGAGTAGGACCAGCCTTATTGTCTTCACTTGAAGTTGATTCCTCTTCTGAAAAAACACTGTCCGATGATACCTCCTAGAGTGACAGAAACAGAAACAATAAGAAAATCTAAATGCAATACCACTTCTTCTTAAAGTGCTACTACGACGAAAATCGCTCAAACTTGGATTCAGCTGAAACTTCCTAAAAATACTCTTTAAAGGTCCAATAATCACTGTATGAAGTGTTTTCTCGATATTCAGGACGAAAGTATGATATTTTTACGATTATGTTTTGGAGTCTGTGACGTCATACACTCAACATCGAACATCGCTCCATACATTTCTTTGTA